TGAGGGTTTCGGTTGCTGAATACAAGAGTTCCGGTTGCTGTTTATTGGGTTTCGGTTGCTGGTCGAGAGTTTAAGGCAGTTAGTTCCTGACTCGAGACAACTCAGAGGGTTTAAGGCAGTTAGTCCTGATCCAACGAGTATAAACTCTCCGGGCATCGTATTGGCGCTTCTCTATTGCTGAGTTTCGTCGATAGTACGCTTTGGGGCACAACAAATCAACGTTTTTCGCAAGAAACTCGTATCTACCCTACAACCTTACACATCTGTGCCAAGGCTCTGTTCACAGGGGCCTGTACTCGCACAAGGAGTTGACGATTTTTGGGTTTTTGTGACTTTTCCTACTTGACATTATACATCTTTCTCTCTATGAAAAGTGGAGTTTTGGTTGTTTTTGTTGGTTTGGTTAGTTAGAGAGCTCATTTGCTGTCCCCACTCCGCACTCATCACCGGTTAATCCCGTAGAGAGTTTCTTCTGCTGTAAGGGCAACCCTGGAGACTCCGACGAAAGCCTAGCAGGGGAGGATCCAAAGCGTGAATAAGACTACAGGAAATACATGGGGGGACCGACCTAGCAGGGGAGGATCCAAAGAGAAGAAACTCTAAGGGTCTGCCTGCTAGGGCGCCAACTATATACTGGTCGTCCGTAACTGCCGACGTAGAGCGCAGAAGGCCTGAGCGGCGTCGCAGGCTCTGTCCCAAGGTGATCGTTGGGAGGGTCTTGACGGATCGGTGATTGTGCGGGCGAAGGAGGCCGTGGACGATGGTCGGGGTGGGTCGGAGCGTCAGAGGGGGCGCCGGTCGGATGCGCCTCGGATGCGTTCGGAGGGTCCGAAGGAGGCCGAAGCGGGGGTTCCCCTGACAAGTAACCAGTAAAATGCTGGGAAGTAAGCTCAGGGGGAAATGCCTTTATGCACGTTTTAAAACCAGTGTGGGACTCCTACTTTGGTGTGGTTTATCCAACACCTTTCTTCAAAGGTAGAGTACCCACTAAAACCCCCTTGTCATTTATCTAGTTATCCAGCAAGGAGTCTTCATCCAGCCCACTCCAAGTATTTAGTACTACTTGTTGGTCAATAGCTAATTTATCAAATTCATTCTTGTTTGTTAATATTCTATCACGTTATAGTCTAGAATTAATCAATGTTAGCCATCGATTATGTACTTCATTGATTTGGAAAATCTTACCAGGATTTTTAAGACGTCTTTCATTTCGCATATTCCAAATCATATACCATGCAGATGATACTAAAATGCTGAAAAGTCGATCCTTGTGAGGCTGAGGAGTTCCCTTACCAGTATAGAATTTTGTTAGATTACAACCTAGTACTAATCCCCACTCAATTTTTGGCCATTTATTAAATTTCATATTCCAAAGCTGTTGAGTTAGTTTCCAGATATGTATTCTTTCTAAGGCTACACACTCTAGCATAATATGTTCAAGAGTCTCTGGAACACTACATACAGGGCATTCACCAAATGCTTGTAGCTGTGGAATATTATCCCAAAATAATCCTACCTTGAATGTATTATGCATTGTTTTCCACAGTAAATCTCTGATTTTAACATTGAAATGTATAGACCTAATTGATTTCCATATAGCAGCATCTGTGGGCTCATAACAGGATAAATCCTTTATTGTTGCTCGAGTTCTTTCAACGTTGATAAAAGTTGATTTCCGTACAGGTATTTGATATTTAGATTTAATAATCTTTGAAAATATCCTTTGTGAGCTGCTTCGTAGTGCAATACCAGGCATATGAAAAGTAAGCTCAGGTTGTGTTTCTATGAGCCATGGAATGAAAGGATCATCACCTGATAGGTTAGCTTTAACCATTTGTATTTTTCATTTAATTTACCAGGATATCTAAATGCCCAATAAATAAAAACAAATAGCTATTATCTAAAAGGATAAAGAGTTTTGAGGCTTGCTGCGAGCCTGCAACGCGGCACCGTCGAGTGGATGTGCCACGGATGTCCCGCGTACCGCCGCGAACGTGCGTGGCCCGACGGTGATAGGATGCCGATAGAGCTACTTCAGGCCCGCCACACCGCGATCGATGCTTTGCCTATCTCAGCTCAGGCTGCTCAGCTCAGCTGCGCCACGTCCTCGATCCGATATGGACGCAGCGCGCGCGGGGTGTGGAGTGGGAGTGCGGCAACCAATGCCCGACGCCGCGCTAAAATGCAATTCGGTGGCGGTTACAGAGCGTGACTCGATAAGCCGGCTTGAGCGTTGGCGAAAGACTGTGAGCAGGTGTCGGATCATTTTCGCTAACGGCCAACGCAAGGCGCAGGCTGCGCAGCGAGGCGCACAAATGGCAAATGGGTCTGAGAGTTGCCGCAGAGGGTGACTCTGATCTAGGGACCGATACAGGGGCCGGGTGACTTGATGTTGCTGAGGCGTTCAGCGGCGCGGCTTGCGGTCAGGGAATCCGAAATCGGAGCCACCATAGGCCCATCGGCAAGCGCATCACGGACGTGCAGTGCGCCATCACGGAAATCAGCACTTTAGAGTTTCCCATCACTTCCCACCCGGTTATACTCCGCCCTTCTGTTGTGGGTGTCGCACAGCGCGGGATCTGCGCTGCGGAGTGTTCGCCCCGGCTGGACCCTGGCAACCGCACCGACTCACCTGCTACAGAAGGCTAGTCTCTGGACCGAAATTTACCGAATTTCATCAAGAGCTCGCCCGCCGCGGCGTCTGATCACGCGTGTGTCAACTTGGCTTACTCAGAGTGCCTTAGGCAGCGGCTCCGAGGTAGAATTGAATTTGAGGGCCTGTATTCTCATGAGAAGTTTGAACCGTAGTACCAGAACCGTAAGCAGCGCAACTATCTGGCAGCGCCAGTTCGACAGGCACAAAACAACTGCGGAGGATGCCCTTGGCCCAGATCGTCTGTCAACGGCAGAGTCCGCATCATACGGCGGTGGCGGCTTATGCGCCATGGACTTGTCATCCAGCCCGGTTGCCCTGGAATGAGTAAGCGCTGGGCCACGAGCCGGGCGTGTGTTGATGCGGAGTCGGGGCCCTGAAAGTGGGCGGGCTAAATGTCCCGCACCACTGATACCGAAAAGAGTCCATCGATTGCGACAACAATGGTCGTCGTTTGGCTGCACATCTCAGCGACTGCCAATGAGTCGGCCGATCTTCCCTCTGCGCCTCGAGGCGCACGCACAAAGGGAGTCTGTGTGCCAACGACAGCCGATGGCAGCCCCATCTGTAGACGCCCATTGTCCTTTCAGACTCCAGAGGCTTGCGAGCCGGCTCAGCTCGCCTCGTGGCCGCTATCAGTGGCCACGGGCCACACTGGTTGCTGTCCGCGTTGTGTGTGGGTGTGAGGGAACAATGGCATGCAAAAATCGGATCCATATGCATCACATGCTCCATTGCATTTTTGTCAGACGGCATCGTCTCGAACAATAAGTACAGCTATACAGCTATTGTCCAACGGGAGAAGCCGTCTGCGGGCAGACTGCGGCGGATCGCAAAGAGATCAGCTCGCGACCCTGTATCCCGTCGTTGTGCCTCGGAATCGCTGTTCTTCACCTTCGTCATTGGGCGGTACCATGGCAGTGGCCACCCATTCACCATCAACTTGTGCAGACACTTATTGAAGGCATCTTCGCGAACCGAAAGAACGCAAGCCGAAGAAATCAGCAAAGGAAAGGGGAATCGACGTCGAACGGAGCCTGACAGTGACTCTGATATCGCTGTAGATGCTCCAGTCGGGGCCAGCCGCACTAGTGCCAGTGTCCGAATATAAGTGCAAGAAAGACGACGGATAGCAAGAAGGAGAAGGTGGGCTTTTCCGAGTCAAAAGGGATGGCGTTCACTATTCCGAGCTTCGCGCAGGAATGCACAAGTGGGTCGCTGGCCCGTTGGAGGATAACGGTTTGAGGGTAGGTTGCGTATCGGAGGTTGGCGCATCATACTCAAGTCAGAGTGGGTATGGATATTGGGAGCGATCTGGTTTACCATTTGCGTCAGGAGCTTATGCGCAGAACAGTTTATCGACACACCATAATATCATTAAATATGGAGTATTTCCCTCACATCCGTCCCCAGGGTCTCGTCGCAGCCCAGCGTCGGACAAGGAGCATAATACGAAATGTTGGCGTTGACCAGCCCGGTGCAACCACCCCGAGCTTCGCGCAGGATCAGTAGTGAATCGCCAGCCCGTCTGGCGGCTCGGTCCGGGGGTGGGTTCTGCCGACGATAAAGGACGGCTGCATGTCCGGACTCCGGAACCGCGAGGCAAAGTTGGGGTAGAGTAAGCAATGGAAGCGATCTGCGATTCGCGGCATGAGCCCATGGACGAAACCAGCAAATTAGTGGCGCACCGTGCCTAGTATTTGCCTCATACACATCATGGGTCCCTGGTCACTGCCAGCGCCGCCCACCGCGAGACCAGACACCCGCCGTTACTTCGGGAGTCGGGACTGGAAGGGGCCGCGCCGTCTCAAGGAGGCCTCAGGAGCTGCTATGGGCAAAGACAAACGGATTACAGACGCACCGCGCCCATGGGCCATCGTGTGTCGTCTACACCGGCCGGCCAGTCACGGCAGCTACCTCGCCCAACCCAATTGCGGCTTGGCACCACTGCGCGCGGGCGTTTTCGTCCACGAGTGAGTCCCGAAGCGCGTATCGGGCCTCCGGACGCAGTGTGCTCGTTCGCGCCGGGGCCTGGATGACGGGTGCGGAAAAGGAAGCGTGGCATCACGATCAGTGACCCTGTCACGTCACGTTTTTTTTTTCTCACTCGCTCGTCGTTCTTCTTCGCCTCCCCATCGTCGCACGCCCCGTCGACTGCCCGACGCGACTCCGGCTATGGCTGCTGACCGATGGGAGCAACAATCCAGAGAGCGCGGTGCTGCTGGTTTGGTACCCAACGCCGAATCGAGTTGGAATCGAGTCATACGATCGTCGATGCAGACAAGCTGGCATCCACACGAACTGCGGCAGGGGCGGATGCTGGGCCCTGGCATGAGTCGGCGCGCTCATGGCCGTCGTCGCAGACAGCGCCGGCTCGCAAACTGCTGCAGAGTGTCACAATAATCGTGGGTACGTGTGAGCCCATGTCATAAAGCGGTGTTCGGGATCCTCGACTCATTCTGCTACCAGGACTGCCCCGGAATGTGCCAGAACCCAAGAAGACGAACGGCCGTCTTCAAGGCTGTCTGGCGCGGCAACAGCATGTCCCGATCAGGATATTCGACTCCTTGTACTATTATGTGGCCACACAGAACCCTCGGACAGCCTGAGCCACCACCCACAAGCACTGCCCGTGCGCCGTTCTTCTTCTTCTACCCCCATCTCGCGTAAGCCCCTCAGCCCTCTCTCCCCCCAACCCACTCATCCTTACCCTCCAGCAATGCCCACCGTTCGCAGCATCATCGTCGCAGCGGCGCACGACGACAAGCACCCTACGCTGGCCAAGATCGGCTGGATCATTAGCTTCTCCATCTGTACGCGTCATCCTGTCCTATTCCAATATCCGCCGCCACTCATACTATGATACTCCCGCCAGTCGCAGCGTTCGTCCTCCTCGTTTTCTGCTGCGCGTGTGGCTGCTGCAGCTGCCGGTGCCGCCGGAGCCGCACGCGTCGTCAAACTATCATATCGCCGTCAGCGACTGTGGCAACGCAGAACGACGCGCCCCCGCCGCGCTACCTCGCACCGCCGCCCTTGAAGTATTCCACCACCGCTGTGGCCAAGGCCGAGTCTGCCCTTGTGAGTACCGGTTTGTAGCTCAGTGAACGTGACGTTGATGGCGCTTACAGCCGTTGTACCCGCCCCCGGCATATCCCAGGCCCGAGCACCTGCGGTAGGATCCTCGACCAGCCGCGCAGTATGTATGGACTATGAGTTGACTATGGACGGACAAATGACTTCACTTATGCCAATATGATTGCTTATGGACGGTAAGTATGACTCAACTATCATGTATGACTTGCAATGCATTCTTTGTGAACCATGGCACAATTCAGAAGCCAGCACTGCCGGAAGAGTCACTGCAGGAAGAGTCACTGCACGGGCATCGATATCGATATAAGCGATCCGTGACTCGGACCATGATCGGCATTTGCAGCTTCCGAGTCATCGAAAAAAAAGACGAAAAGACAATAGTGATCCTGGACGCGATGCGAAGTGATAATCGATGGTGCGGCCCGGGGCGAGGCCCACGCGCGAACCGGCTCAGCGACGCGCCCAGTCCATTCGCGCAGCTGATTGGCGGGCCCTCCACCAATCGAAGCGCTCGAGACGCGGCCCATCACGGTCCGGCCCTCCGGCATGCGCACCTTCCCGCCAGCTGCACCGCGCTTCGAGACGGAATTCCAATTTTCGCCTATTTTCCAACTATTTTCCTGCACACTTAGCGGAGCAGCACGCGGGACGAGCCCTGGCCCTGTCCTGGCGTCGCTCGCGCAGCACGCGTCTCCGCAGATCTGCCTCCCGTTGTTGTTGTGTGCGCCATCACGGCAGCGCCAGCGATCCGTATCGCGTCATCACCGATTACGCATCACATAGGCGACAGCCAGGGCCGCGGACCTGGCGTAGTGTTAATTCTCTCGACGAGCGCGCGGTACCTGAATGAATGATGCCTACGCACGTGCGTCGCCGCGCTGGGCTGCGCGGACGAGATGCGGTGCCCGCATCAACGGCAGGAAGATGTCGTCAGCCGGCGGGGCATCTTCGGCACTACATAGTACCGTGATGGCGCATCACCGACGAATCGAATCACGCGTGGGTACCTCGGCGCTTCTTCGCATCATGCGCCCCTCGGGTCTCTCTGGCACGCGCGCGGCCAAGCTGTCATCAATGCGGAGACAAAAAGAATTGACACGATGAAAACTACGAACCCGGCCCGGATCCTATTCGCGTCGTCAAGTGCACCCGATATCTCCCGACCCCGATTCGATTGGCGTGTGATTAATGCTGCCAGTGGCCCGCATCGCTCCTGTTGGTGTGGAGAGGTGCGCGCAGACCCGCGTCATCGGTGACGGCGCGCCTGACGCATGCGCACAAGCCTCCCGACCAAAAAAAATGCATAGAAAACGTTGTTCTTCATTCACGTCTTTCCTGAAGACAGCTCTAACGATTGCCGGCACTGAGTTTAAACCCCGGCGGGCCGGCGCCGGCGCCGATCAAAACTTCGGCAGTCAGTTCGACAGTGGGGAGATCGAAGAAAGTAGTAGCAACATCCAAGGGTCGTCGTCAAGCCGATCGGCCACTCGGTCTACACATCGGCTGAGGCCTGATACGCATATCCTCCCCAAATGAACATGCACAGCCGTGCCTGGGAAGCACCGATGCAGTTGAGCTGCACTTCGGCGAGCATGGTCGCTGCCAGCTGGTATTGCAACAGAAGGTGGTCATGTCAGATTTTGACACGCGGCAGGGACTGCCGACCGCCAACCGCGGACCCCAGTCTACCCTGGTACCCTCGGCTATCTTGCCGGCCTATCACGTGACCGGCCACGTCACTGTGGCGCCTCTTCTCTTCCTCTCCACCCTGCCGTGTTGACCTCATTCTAGGCCGACATTCGGCGGAAGCCCGCCATAGCACGATCTATGCGCTCCACTCCAACATGATAAGGACAACCTGGACGAGGCCTTACGCTCGACGGCTGCCTCATCCTGCCATGGCGGCCAGAGCGCGCTTTCGCGTTTTGGCTCCGTGTAATGTCTACACCAAACCACTCATCAAGAACTCTGCGTTTCAACATTCTGCAGCGGGCTTCATCATATGTCATATCGCTCGCCTTCTGTCCGAGAATCGGGTCTAGGTGCCCGAGGACGCTCTGCCTCCGGTGCGCTGACTGAAGTCTCGCCTCCTCCGGCCAACTATATGATGCAGCTGCTGGCACATACTGGTATGGTGCTTATCCTGTCGGCTTTTTCTGGACGGCGAGTTTGCCAAGCAGACAGCCTTTCCACTCTGCGCGGCGCGTTAACATGCGACTTCTCGTCATATACCCACCCGGATGCCAGTAACAGGGTACAGTAACGGGTGGGCCGCCCAAGGGCCGCTGTAGCTTGTCCCGGCGACCTCCGCGCACTGCTACCCGCTTGTCCACATGCGCCACTGAGCCGTACTTATCGGTGAGTATTGTTCGTCTTCTCATACCCCTGCTGACTATTTGTTCAGATCACAACAAACCCCAGCAAGCCCCCGAACCTTCAGTTGAAGCAAGTATCATGGGCCATAAGCCCGAGCTGGGACTGCATCTGCTACAACCTGGCGCCAGCAGCGCTGGCAATTGCAACCAAGAGTACTGCATCGGCGGATCCGATGACATCGTCAAATGCTGAGCGGCGCTGACGCGCAGTGGCGCGAGTCCGGAGAGCTCCCGAGTACAATGCACTCCCATCGGACTTGTCTCTTTGACAACCCTGCTGATCTGGACCGCCATCTACGCAATTGGGCGGATCGCGGCGCGTTCCTCGTCTTGGCGCCACTTCACCAGTGACGAAGACCTGCTCTCAAGTCTATGGCCTAGGCTGTTGCTGCAACGAAGCTGTTGCGGCCTAAACTGACGGAAATGACTCGGACTTGGATCTTTCGACACGTTACGGCTAGGCAGGCAACACGGGCTGCTCGAGCTTTGGGATATCAAAGTTTATCGACACGCTAAAGCTGGGAACAACTGGCGTGCGCGCACAACGGCAAGCTCAGACTCAATCTCTGTGAACGACACGGGCAACACAACTAGGCCACGAAGGACTCGGCGCTTAAATGGCGACTGCAGTCTGGGGCTGTAAGTGGCGAGGGTGTAACTGCCAGTCGGCGGCGGGCCGTGGCACAAATCGATTCGGAAGAGCCGACGACGCCGTGCGGGATGAAATGAAGACGACTTTTGTCTTCTGCACTGGCATTGTGCTGGCGGTGCTAGCGAAAGCGGCACAGAACTAATGAGCACGTGGGCTTGCTCAAACGCGACCCTGCACGTGTAGGATAACTTGCAAGTACTAGCACTAGTAAGTACTAGGTATTGACTAGGTAGTCATATGAAATATGTTTAGTTTTCTCTGTGGAATTGCCAATCTGAAGTACTGACAGAGCTCATTCTTAGGCTCACATTCTGCTCGAGGGATACTCAGATCCGGAACAACTTGAACCGCAGGCCAACGGCCAGGCCTGGAGTAAGTTATTATTCAACACTGGCACTGGCATGAAGGGTTTCAGCAGTGAATCCAGTGATGAGTAGCTACCTGCCCTCTGGATCTATCCCCATGCAAAATTCTGCCCAACTCGGACCGACTGGGATGCGACAAGAAAAAATGTCGGACAAACAGAACAACAAATGATGAGCCCGAGCCGCGTCGATTGTGCGGCGGTGGGCCATAGGCATGCACCGGGACTGCGTTGTGGCACCGGCATGCTTATCATCTCGGGCTCAGGAGCCTCTGCACCGGGAGGACTGGAAGCATTGCTGACCGGGACGCCGGGCACGGCTGATTCCTATCACTGGGGTCCTGATCGCTTGGCCTGTGAAGTCACCCCATCGCCTAACACCCGGCAACGCTGGCGGCATGTCAAAATCTGACATGACCACCTTCTGTTGCAATAAGCTGGAAACTAGTTTCGAACCGCGGGTTGTGACAGCGGGCAGAAGGCGAACACGACGTTTGCGCACAGCATCACGCAGATATGTCCCGCGTCCCTTGTCCTTGTACTTGCGTGCATTCGCCGTGCCCTTGTTCCCAATCAGGATGACGTCGCCCGGGGCGGCCCGGGATCGGCGTTGATGTGGAGGAAGTGATAGATGCTAGGCCGATTAACCGCGGTCAAATGGGCTGGTGCTGCCATTTTCACAGCGCGCGGAAGAGGGTGGGTCAGGTACGCGCTGTGCTGTGCGGGTTGCCTTGAGCATGCCTGCAGTAGCGCCACAGAGTGCCTCGGGTGCGAGGACTGGGTCAGGTGGGGTCATTGGCTCGCCTGGTGTTTGTGCTATCAACCAGTTAAAAGATCAGCAATTCCCGTGTATTGCGGACACACCACTCGACGCGACTCCACCCCGGCGCCGCCCGATGTGCGCGCTACTCGGCTGACGCGGTACATCCTTACCCCACCGACGGGACGCATCCGGGTGCTTACGCCCGCCCAACAGCGACACGGGACGGGCAGGATTGGAAAGCCGACCAGCTGACGTCGATGTGGGGGAGAGGGAAGTGACGTGGCGGTGCGTATGGGTGATGACGAGGGTTGCCGGGATGCCGGCGCATGACAGCCGGTCTCGCTCGGAAATTGCGGAAGGCGACTTTTGATCCCCGGGGATTTTCTGCGCAGCTGAGAAAGAAATTGCTGAGCAACACGATTGGTGAGCGCGTAAGTACTAAGCAGGCGGCGCAAACCAGCGGAACACGAGCGCACCGATGTGGTAGGGGCAGAGCAGCGTGCCAGCCCCAGATTGCCTTGCGCATCCGTGTTGCCTGGCCCAGTTTGGTTAATTTGTTTGCCCCACCCACGGCGGCTAAATTGCAGGTCGTCGGCTGCTTACGTTTGCGCGATGACCGGCATGCGCCTCAATCGGGATGATCCAAATCGGGCAGCTGATCTGAGCCAGCCCGGCTCGCCTGAGTCATCCGCTTCGGGAGCCCTTTGACATCTGCCACGGGCTTTTTCGCCACGCCCATGGCCAAGGGGGTATATAAGCTGCTGCGGCTGGGCTCCTTCCGACCCACCTCCCGCCGCCCTTCCCATAACAATGCACTCTTCGCCTATACACGCTGCGTCCCTCGTGGACCCCGCCACACACTCCCCTGCCATGATGGAGCTCATCGATATACGCTTGACGAAGCCTGTTGTCGGTGCGTCGCCTCTTGTCTTTCTTTTGTCTCTGGGACTCAACGCATCTTTCAGACTACCTCATCGAATGCGTCGTTGAGACGGTCGATTTCGCGATGGGCCGTGCGTCTACTCCGAGGGGCCGAAACCCGTCGCGCTACCTCTCCTCTTTCACCACCTTTGCCAACAACGTTCTGACCAGGGCTGAAGTCACTCCGGCGACTGTCCTCGCTTCCCTCGTCTACATATCCCGCGCTTGCCCCCACCTTTCCATTGCCCTCGAAGAGTGGGCGTTAGAGCGCGTCTTTCTGGGGGCCCTCATCGTGGCGTCGAAGTACACCAACGACTCCACGCTGAAGAACATCCACTGGGCGCTTTGCACGGGCGTCTTCGGCAAGCGGGACGTGGGCCGGATCGAGCGGGAGTTCCTCGAAGTACTCAACTGGGAGTTGTCCATCAAGGAATCCGACCTCCTCGCACACCATTCCGCCTTAATGGCCGTCGCCTTCCCCGACAAGCACATCCCGATCTCCTTCGTCCCCACCCACACGCGCCATTCCTCATCCATTTCCATCCCCGACCTGGCCCCGAGCTCCCCGGGCTCCTCGCTCGGCTCGTTCTCGCCACCGACGCCGCTCCAGCAGCACGTGCCCGTCGACGTCGTGTCCGAGCCGAAGGGCCGGTTGAGCGACATCATATGCGCGTTCCCGATACCCATACCCATCCGCCACCATGCGCACAACCCCAGCATCCATGTCGCGTAAACCCCGACCCTGTCGTGCTCTTCCTAACCTGCGATCCGCGTGAATGTTAGTAACGCCTTTCGCCTTCCCCTCGGCCCTTGGCCTCTTGGCATCCCGCGCCGCAGCACACCGCTTGACGATTGCTTATGTCGCGGCTGCTGCGCGCTTTCTTGGTATATCGTCTCATCCATATCCGTTGCAATGATATCATGGACCACTTAGTACAAATACAACTAGCCCTCATTTTTGGTCTCCTCGATCTACTTACCTATCTTCGTATATAGTGTATGCTGTACAGCTCTTAGTTATAGCTAAATTTCAACAACCCAATGAAGACTGTGGGTGTGACATGACTCTAAGTTTGTGTTTTGAAGTTTCAATACTTGGTGTTTAGATCAGATTATACTTTAATACCAGTTTAACTTACGTCTGCTTGCTAGCCTGTCGGAGTAGACAAGTGAGGGCGGCTCTTCTGGCAGCTTATAGTGCTCGACCTACTTATCAGTAGTCAGCATAACGTCGAAACCCTGCTTCGTACAATCGATTATGACATTCGCGGGTTTACGTGGAGGTCGGCTGATTTTAAGTCACAGTGACCGTGACGTCACGGCTGTCACCCCTCTTTACTTTCGCCTCCCATCATCGATGGCTGGAATACACGACCTGCCGGTGGAGATCCTGGCGACGGTGCTGGGCCATCTACATCCTCGAAGACTCATCCTTTGCCGCCTAGTCAGTGTTTTCCCGCCGCTTCTTGTGATGGCCCAACCCAGGCTGAGCCAACAAGTGTAGGTATCGCGCCTCTGGAATGAACTGGCAGAGAACACGCCCAAGCTGAAGTACAGCGCCGAACTGTGGCGCGATGGGCTGCTCCCTGGCAACACTGGGGCCGCCAATCTCACCGAATGCCTGACGGATTTGGTGGCGCGTCGCGAGGCTTGGCGCCAAGTGCAAGAGACGGCAAAGCGCGTTGTCAAGATGCAGTCGCCAGATATGTGTCGCGCCCACGAGCTTGGCAGTGGAGTGTTTGTGCTGCAGGAAACACTGGGCAAACTGAATGTTCTGCGCCTCTCCAAGCTCCATACAGCGAATGATAGCAACGTCGACGACGCGTTGAAGACGTGCGAGCTGGACATTTCGATGGAAAACTTCCAGGACTTTGCTCTCGATGCGGGACAGGACTTGCTTGCGATCTTCTCGGTCCACGACAACGCCACGGGTGTACTGGCCTTGCGAAAGCTGTCCGACCCTCTAGTAGCACATCATTTGGCGAGCCAGTCGGAGGTCTACTTTACCTGCACTGCGAACCATGCCACAATCATGACGATGCAAGTCCTGGACGACGTCGTGGCGATATTTCTTCATTCTGGTTGGCGCCTGCTGCTGTTCGACTGGCAGAAAGGGAGAGAAGTGCTCTCGCTGGACTTCGCTGGCGACCCCGAATACGCGCCATGGGAAGTGTTGGACTGCTATATGCTCGGCCCGCGGTTGATGTTATTCGTCGGCAAAGGCTGTGTGAGCGGAGGCGAGCATTCATACAGCGGATCATTGCGGCTTTATCTGATTTCCGACTCCCTCGAGCCTGCGGAGGTCAAGATCGAGCTTTTTGCGTCGCTGCATCTGCCGTTGCTGTCGAATGTGTACTGCTCGCTGACGCAGGTGACTGTTCAAGCCGGGCCTTACATCTCCCATCCGCCTCCGGATGCGCCGTACTACCAGGCGAACGACCGCAGAATCATCTCCTTCGTGATGCGATACGAACCGGGAGATTGGGTCCGCCTTTTTCTCCATATTCGGACGGTGTTGGCCCTGCTGGATGAGTACCGGCAAAAACGGGAGGTTGTCGAGCATGAATGGGAAGGGTGGGGCCCACAGAATACGAGGATGCTACGGGGCCTGCGTAATTGGCCTCCCCGGTATGTCTCCATCTTCAAGGTCATTCATTGATGACCATTCACATTTTGAATAGACACGTCTATGGTGAATGCCTCATTTTGCCCACCCCTGCGCACGACTGTCGCGGCCTTCGCTTTCTCGACTTCAACGTACACGGTCTACCCGGCACCGCCGTGTCTGATGATCAACGTCTTTGGAGCGGCGGCGACCCCGGCTTCATGCCGCACGTGCTTGAAGCAGCTGATGGGCCCTATATGGGCGACCCGCGGGACCAACAGCCGCTGGTGGAAATGGACGTGCTGCACAGCGGCGGGAGCACTTTGCAGATAAAGATTATCGTGACGGTACCGGCCTGTGCCCGTGCTGACAGACGAGTCAGGGTCGGACAGCGAAGGAGGCGCAGATGGCGACGGGGAAGAGCTTCAGGATGGCGACCATGAAGAGGCGATGGTATCAGATGAGGCAGATGCATCGCCGCCCGGCTCGCCGAACGCGATGACGGAGTACGCCGGGCTGTTTCGGCACCCAGTCCGCACGACACTTCCATACCGCGAGGTACAGCGAGTGGTTGTGGCTGAAGGCGCAGACGACGGCGAGGCGTATAATATGTTGCTCTTGGATGAGCGAAACATCATTGCGGTGAACAGACAGGTGAGTGCCGCCAACAGTGATCAAGCTGAAGCTCCTACTAATGCACACCGGACAGAGTCAGGATGAGGAAGTCGTGGTATTGAGAATGTGGTAAAGGAGCATTCAACTATATGTATGCTGCACCGTGCAGTCCATGCTTCAGAATCTAAAAGCGGCTGTTGAGCGGAGGTCTCGTGAAAGTCTAGCCTCTCTTCTATTACATTGCCGGGCGGGGCTTGAGTGGCACTATTGATTGTAAATCGCTCCACTCCAAGGCCGCTTTGCCCTGCTTGCTTCTCTCTCGCTGACTGCTAGGCCCACAACCCCCCCTTCCCCTCAGCCATGCCCGACAGTCCGCAGCGCAGCTATTTCGACTCTGTCAGCTTCGGAGATTTCAACTACAACCCCACGGCGTCGCTGCGAAGCGAGCACAAACGCCTCGCAACCGCGCTTGGATGGAGCGACAAGATGCGCAGGAACGAGTGGGCCGCATGCGCGCGGATGGAATTTGAGCTGCACTTTGGCGCACAAGGCTCGGCGGACCTCGCTGCATGGCGCGATATGATCGTCTTCTGCGGCTTCACGGAGGCGCCAGTGTTCGAGACAGTCAAAAAATGCCAGGAAGTGCGTGGTCTTCCCGCCGCTGGCGAGCGAGCTCTGACTTTGAACAGTTCCTACGACTGAATGCATTCATCAACATCTTTGACATGATCGATGCGAAGGCTAAGGGCGGCGCGCCCGACGAACTGCAAGTCGCTCAAGGCGCTGCGCAAGTACTCCAAGAAACACAAGAAGATCTTCCCACGCGAGCAGGCGAAGCAGAATCCGTTCCTCGCCGTGCTCTTGATTCGAATGAGTGATTGAGACACCCAGGGATCGAACAATAAGGTACGAACAAGGTAATTGTTATGGAGCTTTTGTTGATGCACATAACATAGTCTTGTTGCTACACATATAGGCTTTCGTCAAATAAACATATGAATATCCACATGCACTGAGCCGTTTCCACAACTTTTCCCTGTGAAAAGTTAGCTAAAAAAATGGAAATGCTTGAATGCACTTTTTCTGAGTGAAAATTTGGACCATTTTCAGCTCTTTCAGCAGCCCTTGCCAGAAAAGAAAACTTGACATTTTTACCCAATGATTCTGAGGAAAAATAATTGACTATATATGGAGAGAAAAGACTAGGACAATAATTTTGAGTTTTTACAAGTAGTTTTTGCCAAGCAAAAAATTAGACAAAAATCAAGGTGGTTTTCAACATTCTTGTGAGTTGAATGTTTCAAATGTTTGACTAGTAGAAATTATTGCACAAATAATCAGTTTTCTCCCCATTTTTTTTTTTTTTTAGAAATTGAAGTTTCAAGGAGAAAAATTAGAAGTTTCTCTTCTCACTTGGAACAGAACAGACAGATTGTCGGTGGTAGCACAGCAGTAGTGTCACACTGCCACTAGTCACAGTGGTGTACATGTGCTCAGGCTGCTGTTTTAGCATGGCCAAAGCTGCCCTGCTGCTACTGGCTTAATTGTACTGGAGTAAACATTTGAAAGATAGCTCAGCCTGAGCTGCTCCGCCATTGTTGGCAACTTGTTGCTGCAGGCCCAATATGGCCAGTCACTGAAATGCACTGGACACTTGCACAGACACTGTGCTGGACAAACATCTTGATGGACATACATGTCTTCTGATTCCAGAGGTTTAATGCAACTGTCAAACTTGAGCTTCAAGTTGGTCTGGGTGATGCATTCCTGCTGAATCGGCGCCGACTGTGATCAATAGCCCGACTTGGAACTTTGGAAGTTCTATTGCTTATGCAACAGAGTGAACCTTAGAAACATAGGAGCCCAGCTCTCGCCTACCAGTGTCATGATTGCAGTGACAACAACAAAACTGGGCTCAGAAACCAACACCAAGCGTCTGAGACTGAGGAGTCAAAGCATTCACCGAGTCAGGGGCGCGCTGGTGACTGTGACAGCATAGAGGGACAGTGCAGCAGCAGTGCAGCAGCACCACGGTCCACAGTGGTCATTGCAGCGGCAGTGCAGTGGCCCTGCAGCAGCCGATTAGTGTAGCCCTACAGAAAATATAATGTATACACTCTAATTTCTATAGTTCACAACCCCCATACTTATATTTATATACTTTCTGGCCCATAACCTTGGATAGCCTATCCTGTCACAGGCTCATCATCAGGTAATTGATGGGAGGTGAACATATGGAAGAGTTGATATGGCCTGCCATGTGTGTTTGAAGGTTCCAGGTGTAATACACATACATAGGGCTATAGACTGTACCATATACAGCTGCGGCTGTGTATGGCTGGCCAGGTTACACGATGTGACCTGGGCCAAGGTTGGGCTCCGGGCAACCAGGCCAGGTTGAGCAGCAGTGCCAAGGATCTGCCTGCAGTGCAGGGCTGCCTGTCAGACTGCGGGTCGGCCGTGCAAGGACTCCTCCTAAGAACGCACGCCCGGAACATAACAGACGGATCGTCGGGCCCGCGAGTACGCTCAGTACGGTGAGCGGGGTAGATTGAAACTGAAAGGGCCCGTTAACTCAGTCCCTTGTCACTATCGGTGGTCGAAGGTTTGAATCAGGTCGTGTCGGGCCCATTAATGCACGGAGAAAGGTAGTTCTTCAGACGATCTAAGTGATAGAGTACATGGTATGCTATCACACATTATATACGTGGGCCCGCAAAGGGGTGATCGGACACCCTGGCCTCTCGTGCTCCTCCTTGCCCCCATTCCTGGCCACAGAGGGGATGATCGGTCACGTGCTTCCCACGTGTGCGTTCCTCCTACTGGGGTGCATGTTCCCCGTCGTCTTGTGCTGCATGTTATGGGCCCGGCGGTGGCCCGACACCAGCGCCGGAGCAATGGGCTGGGTCTTATCCGTGACACCGCCTCAGTGCTGGCCAGGCTGTGTTAGGTGACTACCAAGAGCTACTGGGCCCTAGCAACAGGAACCCAGGGGTCCGATACTGGACGGTGATGAGTGCGGAGTGGGGACAGCAAATGAGCTCTCTAACTAACCAAACCAACAAAAACAACCAAAACTCCACTTTTCGTAGAGAGAAAGTTGTATAATGTCGAGTAGGAAAAGTCATGAAAACCCAAAAATCGTCAACTCCTTGTGCGAGTACAGGCCCCTGTGAACAGAGCCTTGGCACAGATGTGTAAGGTTGTAGGGTAGATACAAGTTTCTTGCGAAAAACGTTGATTTGTTGTGCCCCAAAGTGTACTATCGACGAAACTCAGCAACAGAGAAGCGCCAATACGATGCCCGGAGAGTTTATACTTGTTGGATTAGGACTAACTGCCTTAAACCCTCTGAGTTGTCTTGAGTCAGGAACTAACTGCCTTAAACTCTCGACCAGCAACCGAAACCCAATAAACAGCAACCGGAACTCTTGTATTCAGCAACTGAAACCCTCAACCAATAATCCTTTCGACGCGATGATACTATTTCGAAAGAGCTAGCAAGATAGATTTGACGAGCTAGATCCCCAGATGCACCTAGTAAAGCGGGGCAATCCGTGAACCTGCCAAATACAAAACAGAGATATAAATACTAAACAGAAAATGATAGAATCAGGGAAAATCATGAGTAAGAAAAGTAGTCCATGTGCATAATTGTATAGGTATCGTTTCGCCATACGGCCCAGAGTTGAAAATTTGCTAATAATTATGAGGTGATGCAATTCCATATGGCTTGTCAGGGCTATGAGTAAATTGAAAGTGGAAGAGTGTGCTTGCCTTTAGTTAAGTGTTAAGAGAGTGAGGGTGTTAATTTAGCAGATATTAGCTTATGTATTCTTAAGATACTCTTGGCCTAGTCACACTTTATCTTAAGTTTCCTTATACCTTAAGTTGTTGTAAAATACCTGGATTTATTTTAGGAAGTCATGGGTCATGAGTATAAAAGATTATGTAATTTCTTTATAAAGCCATACTTTAAGTTCACCTCTTGATTTGTTGAAGCTGAAGGGTAAGATCTTAAGATATTAGTCTTACTTCTAATCAAGGTACAAGTCTTAAGTACAAACGAACCTTAGCATTCCTTGTAATTCAGAGTACTGGAAATTGATGATATAACTAGGTAACTGAAGCTAGATGAAGCTAAATGAATTTCAGGGCAACATACTTTTAAATAGGATGTGTCTTATGTAATGGAAGCTAATCGCCTAAACCCAAGCCTCTTGACACCATGCATTTGAGCTTGGAAATCTAGTGGACTATATTAAACCTATAAAGCCAATTAAAGCCAATTGAAGCTAAGTTTACAGTCTAGGAGAATAGTTGGAGCTAGTTTGATAGGGCCCACCATGATAAACCTTTGATATAAAGCTATTAAGCCAAATGAAGCTAACTTGATAACCCTGTAAATTATTTGACAATGCAATACAAGGCCAACTGAAGCTAAACTCAATAAGTGCTAATACAACCCTGAAGGTTTATATTACAGCAGAAAACTTAAGTTCAAGATTTTATGATATTATGGGACCCTCAGTTTGTATACTTAAGGCTCAGGTCTGAGGTCTTAAAAGAATTTTTCAAGTTGCAAACCAGAAGATGTATAGTAAAGTATTTGATTGAAAACTTAAGCTGTGTATTAATTCTTGTACTGAAGTTTCAGATCTTAAGATCCTGGTGTATGATAATATATATAGATCTACTCAACTAGTAATTGGTACGAATATTTCCAATATCTTCATACTTAGCTGGGCTTAAGAAATAGTTTCACCAGGCCATGGGAAACTGAAGTTATGCTCAGCTAGTTTATGAATTTAGGGGAAACAGTCTAATATGTACTGGAATGACACTTTTCTCGATTCTGGAATGCCATGAGTTTGAGCTTACTCCGAGTCCTTGAGTCTCCGGCCAGCTCCGGCTATCAACTGACAGTTGCTAGTCCGAGTTAAATATTAACAGTAACTTTAAGCTAAAATCTCGATCTCATGCCGGTGCTGGCGGGGATTCGACGGCCCTCGATTACCTCGTGGTTTCCCCCTCTTTATTTAACATCGAGCCGTTGCTACGTCGCCACCTGCTTTTCGCCCACCGCTGACCGTGACCCACGAACGTGAACCCACCACCTATCCTGCCAGTGTACTACTTGATAGTCCTGTACCCCTCTTGACCTCCGGAGTCCATGAGCTACTTCGACTTCCCTGGCTTCAGTCGCAACCCCGCTGCCTCTCTGCGGCACGAATTCGAGCGGCTGGCGGGCCAACGGGGGTGGGGCAAGCCGCGCAGAAAGAGCGAGTGGGCGCTGTGCGCGCGGATGGAGTTCGAGCGATACTTCGGCGCGGACGCGCGGCCCGACCTCGCGGCATGGCGCGCGATGATCGCCTTCTGCGGGTTCACGGAGGTCTGTGACTCGATCAAGAAGTGCAAGGCGGTGTGTGCTCTTTCGGCGCCGCGAACTGGATCCGAGTCCTAACGCGTCTGACAGTTCCTGCGGGCGAACGCGTTCATCAACATATTCGACATGATCGCAGCCAAGGCGAATGGCACCACGCCGTTCAACCGCCAGTCGCTGGGGGCGCTGCGCAACTACTCGAAGAAGAACAAGAAAATATTCCCGTGTGGAGAGGCGAAGAAGAACCCATTCCTGCGTGTTCTGCTGGTCCGGATGAGCGATTGAGTGGGCCAACGGCGGTAGACAGGTCAAGAATTCGTAGAATGCATTCACTGTTGCTGTACTCTGCGCGGCTTTGCACAAGTGAAATTATGCTCCTGGTTCACACTAGAATCATTTTCTCAGCCACATTGTACTGAAAGGACTCGAAAACAACTCACTGCGCCTTCCACTCGCCCCTGTTCCCGAAAGTCTTGTTGCAGTTGTTAGCGCTACAGCCAAACGCGACGGGCGGACTGGGCTGTGGCGGATGCGGGACCGCTGGCACCAGGGGCACCGTCGGCAGGACGAACGGAGGCAGGAGCGGACGCTGCGACGGGAGGACGATGTCAATGCCGTTTGGAAATGGAATGTCGACAGTGTAACGACTAGGTTCGCGGTACCACTCCGCCACGGCGTCGCCATCCTGGAACCAGCAGTGCGCCTCCTCCATGTGTGATCGCAGCGCGACAGAGTCGGAGAACCGGGCCGGGCAGTCGACACACGCAAAAGGCATAATTATATTGGCGCCAGCGCGTGGCGTGTGGTCGGCCTCTTCATCGCGCAGAGCGGTGTGTGGGCGCGCAGAGCGTGCGCCTAGGGAGGTAGCCGATGGTAAATATGACGATGGAGGACAGGATGCCCGCTGAAGCAGCCAGAAGGCCATCCATGCCGATTGGGCATGCTGTCACAGTCCAGAAAAGCGCGAGGGAGAGCAGCACCACAACAGTAAGGGCAGAAAGACGCGCCATAGAGATGGGAGGTGGGGCCAGGGCTGTCGGAGGGCTTAGGCGCGCACCGTCGTTTATGTGGCGGCCGTGTGTGTGGCCCTGGGGGCTTATCCATGGCAACTGGGTGCCTCATCATGATGGAGCGGCCCCGTGGTGCAGCCGCCGTGCCGTGCCGCTGCTGTATGTAGCGCCCGCCGGCGTTCGAATCGCAGCTTCCAACGGGCGTCGGCGTCTTCTTCGCAGCGTTGCCAGGGAAACACGGGCGAGAGAGGTAGGCGCGGTGGGAGTCCACCGAGAGGAGGGCATTGTACGAATAGCAGGCGCGTGTGCTGTTGCCCTTGGTACCCAGTAGAAACACCAGGCCAGATGGACGTCGAGAACATTGTAGACAAGCGCGGTGCCACGTGGAGGTTGATTGCCGCTTGAGTCACCGTCGTCATGTCACGGCTATCACCTTCTTTGCCTTCGCCTCCCATCATCGATGACTGCGATACACGACCTGCCGGTGGAGATCCTGGCGACGGTGCTGGGTTATCTACATCCTCGAAGACTCATCCTTTGCCGCCTAGTCAGTGTTTTCCCGCCGCTTCTTGTGATGGCCCCACCCCTGAGCGAACAAGTGTAGGTATCGCGCCTCTGGAATGAACTGGCAGAGAACACGCCCAAGCTGAAGTACAGCGCCGAACTGTGGCGCGATGGGCTGCTCCCTGGCAGCACTGGGGCCGCCAATCTCACCGAATGCCTCACGGACTTGGTGGCGCGTCGCGAGGCTTGGCGCCAAGTGCAAGAGACGGCAAAGCGCGTTGTCAAGATGCAGTCGCCAGATATGTGTCGCGCCCACGAGCTTGGCGGTGGAGTGTTCGTGCTGCAGGAAACACTGGGAAACAGTGTTGGCTCTAAGCTCTAAGGCTTAGAGGGTGTCTAAGCCCTAAGGCCTTAGACTAAGGCTTAGGCTAAGGCTTAGATATTGGCCGAAAATCTTTGGAGGGCTTAGAGGGCTTAGAGATCGTGTAATATGTATGATATATGATCGACGCGGCTGACAAAAAATTCATCGATTAGCCGCCGAGCTTGCAGAAACGGGACCAGACGACGACATTCCGGCAGACGACCGCCCGCAAGGCGCAATTCCGGTCTCGCAGCCACCGCGCTGTCCTCGGAAATGGGTTTCCATGTCGCTCGAGAAATTATTTGTGACTGGCGCGCCAAAGGAGCGACTGCGCACGAGGGTTTCGGCTCGTGCGCGGGCAGACGACGAGTGCTACATGCGTGTGATGGCAGAATTGGAGGCGGAGGATAATACTCTTGATTCAGGAGCTATCGAAATTGACGATTCGGAGGTCTACCAACCATAGTTTGCATGTATATTGCCAAAAATTAGAGCCATCAAAAATTTCCTTTTTGGGACTCTAAGCCCTTAAACCCGGCTAAGCCTTCTAAGCCCTAAGCCTTAGACTAAGCTCTCAGCCCTTAGACCCTGGGGAGGTCGGTTTTTAAGCCCTTAGGGCCAACACTGCTGGGAAAACTGAACGTTCTGCGCCTCTCCAAGCTTCATACAGCGGATGATGACAAAAACATTGACGACGCGTTGAAGACGTGCGAGCTGGACATTTCGATGGAAAACTTCCAGGACTTTGCCCTCGATGCGGGACAGGACTTGCTTGCGATCTTCTCGGTCCACGACGACGCCATGGGTGTACTGGCCTTGCGAAAGCTGTCCGACCCTCTAGTAGCACATCATTTGGCGAGCTCGAGCCAGCCGGAGATCTACTTTGCCTGCGCTACGAACCATGTGGCCACGATCATGACGATGCAAGTCCTGGACGACGTCGTGGCGATATACCTTCATTCTGGTTGGCGCCTGCTGCTGTTCGACTGGCAGAAAGGGAGAGAAGTGCTCTTGCTGGACTTCGCTGGCGACCCCGAATACGCGCCATGGGAAGTGTTGGACTGCTATATGCTCGGCCCGCGGTTGATGTTATTCGTCGGCAAAGGCTGTGTGAGCGGAGGCGAGCATTCATACACCGGATCATTGCGGCTTTATCTGATTTCCGACTCCCTCGAGCCTGCGGAGGTCAAGATCGAGCTTTTTGCGTCGCTGCATCTGCCATTGCTGTCGAATGTGTACTGCTCGCTGCTCGCTGACGCAGGTGACAGTTGAAGCTGGGCCTTACATCTCCCATCCGCCTCCGGATGCGCCGTACCACCAGGCGAACGACCGCAGAATCATCTCCTTCGTGATGCGATACGAACCGGGAGATTAGGTCCGCCTTTTTCTCCATATTCGGACGGTGTTGGCGCTGCTGGATGAGTACTGGCAAAAACGGGAGGTTGTCGAGCATGAATAGGAAGGGTAGGGCCCACAGAATACGAGGATGCTACGGGGCCTGCGTAATTGGCCTCCCCGGTATGTCTCCATCTTCAAGGTCATTCATTGATGACCATTCACATTTTGAATAGACACGTCTATGGTGAATGCCTCATTTTGCCCACCCCCGCGCACGACTTTCGCGGACTTCGCTTTCTCGACTTCAATGTACACGTTCCACCCAGCACCGCCGTGTCTGATGATCAACGTCTTTGGAGCGGCGGCGACCCCGGCTTCATGCCGCACGTGCTTGAAGCAGCTGACGGGCCCTATATGGGCGACCCGCGGGACCATGAGCCGCTGGGGGAAATGGACATGCGGCACAGCGGCGGGAGCACTTTGCAGATAAAGATTATCGTGACGGTACCTGTGCCCGTGCTGACAGACCGAGTCAGGGTCAGACAGCGAAGGAGGCGCAGATGGCGACGGGGAAGAGCTTCAGGATGGCAACCATGAAGAGGCGGTGGCGCCAGATGGCGAGGCAGATGCATCGCCACCCGGCTCACCGAACGCGATGACGGAGTACGCCGGGCTATTTCGGCACCCGGTCTGCACGACACTTCCATACCCCGAGGTACAGCGAGTGGTTGTGGCTGAAGGCGCAGACGACGGCGAGGCGTATAATATGTTGCTCTTGGATGAGCAAAACATCATTGCGGTGAACCGCCAGGTGAGTGCCGCCAACAGTGATCAACCTGAAGCTCCTACTAATGCACACCACAGAGTCAGGATGAGGAAGTCGTGGTATTGAGAATGTGGTGAAGGAGAATTGAACTGTATGCTGCACCTGAGATGTGGTCCACATTGGCACAGAAGTACTTAAATTGTCTTAGACACATTTTGTGCTGGTTCAATTGATTTGTGTGCCATGAGAAGAATGCCGGACAACTGTGACAGACTTAAAGTTCGTTGTGTCATATACTTCTAACTCCACCAATGATATCTGCAGCTTTCTCTGCACTGGATTGTCTATTAATTACTGGTCTTGTGGGGGCAAAATTGCAGACAAACATTCCATACACAGTGGACATAGGATGTGCACTGATTTGCAGTGGCAAAATGGAGTACTGGATCAAAGGTCTATTAGACAGGAGGGAGACAGAGGGCAGATCCACATACATCTACAACTCGGATGTTGGTTGTGCCATATACCTGTCAATCAATAAGGAAATCAATATCAATTGGACAATACTTACCTTGAAATCTGGGGCCACCACCCCACCCTTAGCCCGTGGAAGCATAGCAGCACTTCCAATAGTGTGATATTCTGGCCCTCCATGATTTTTAATATATTCTCCAGTATAGTCTTATCAGTTTGATTTAATTATTTCTTGATGTATATACCTTGGATATCTGGGTCAGATTGGACTCTGAGGCCTGGATCAATTTCAGCTCCAAGAATTGCTATATTTCATTATCAGGTTTATCAGTGTGGAGATCCCAGAGTCCTCAGAGGTATACCTTTGAAACCCCCAGTCTTTGCCAACTTGCGGATGAATTTGAGAGTATATACAAGCACTTCTAAATCTGGGCCAGCAACTGAATTAAGCACCCAAAAACAATAGGATAGAAATTGACCAAAGTCCTGCTCATAGTACCTGGGGTCAATAACAGGTGGGACTGTTGGGTCACTTGAAGTGATATGAATACTGCCTGTTGAGAAGGGGAAGTGGAGATTGCCAGTGAATGTGAGGTATTTCTTGCCGGCAACAGGTGCACCTATTGAATAGCCATTATGTTTTCTCGTCAACCAAGAGTCCATTGAACATACTGGCAGTGGTAAAGAAGCCTGGGAATGCAACCATCTCCACAAGCCCTCGATGGGCAGGGTCACGTAGCCCATGGATGATAGTGTCCCACTTCTCCTTCTGTGCAGCACTGCTGTTGCCGACAGCAATTTGTGCGGCTTGCACGTTAGTGAGCCTGGTGGCATCTCTTGGCCCAGTTATTGTTTGGAGTGGTACAAGGGCAAAGCCTGTAACTCCAATAGTCATGATACCAGTCTTATTTGCAGCACTTAAAGGCCTGTTAGTGCACACCAAAGAGCAAGGTAAACATACTATTCAGCTAGTGCAGATGTAAGGAATTTTGGGTTACGGAGGTCATCGAGGGTAACAATGGAGCTATTAGCAAGCTCTGGGTGACTAATGAGTACTACATCAATTTAGAGAGGAAACATACCATAACTAACACCAAAGAATACCTGATCAATAACACCTTCTCCTACTCCTGGCAGATTAACCACAGTCTTGATCCCAAGAGAAGAAAGGATGGCAGGATCACCAACCCCACTGAGCTCAAGCAGCTGTGGTGTCTTGATAGTCCTAACCCAAGTCAATAAAAATATTAGCTGTTGTACTACAACTCACCCTGCGCAAGAAATGACCTCTGCACCGGGCTTCACCTTTATCGAATGAGCTTTCCGCCCAGCCTTGTCCTCAATTAACACAGCAACTGTAGTCGCAGTAGCCCCCTCCTTGGCCTCTGTGAATGCAATCCGCGTCACCTCGGCTCCAGTCAGGACAATCAAATTTGGGCGATGTGCAACGGGCTGGTAATAAGCGGAAGCCGCATAAGAGCGTGTAATAGCGTCGGGCCGACCATCTATAGCAGCGGGTGCCATCCAGGCGCCAACGTCTCCTCCGGACAGCTGCGTCTGGGGTGAGCAATGGAACTGGAGGGGGATTCAAGTAGGTGCTGACCGCGTCTTGGATGTGCGGCACCCCAAGTTCCCTTAGCGCAGACAGCCACGGCTTCTGGGCGTCGGAGATGAAGCGCGAGAAGCTGTTGTGGAGGGGCCCAGTGGTGCCATGTGCGCTCGGGTTGAATGTGAGGTTGTTGGCCGTCGCATAAACCGGATCCGGAGCGGTGAAGCTAGACAACGTCAGCGGCTGTGGCGCACGTTAATACACGTAGAAAATGAGCAATCAAGGAGATCACCAGGACCTTCAACCCAACTAATCAAATCCTAATTTTGTGCGGTTTGTGTTCGGGGTTCGAGCCGCAGGAAACGGCTAACGGATTCAGATGTTCCTATTGATATCAGTTGTAATTTGGGATGTTGTATAAGCTTGTATTGAAGTTTTCACTGTGATGAACAGAAAACAGCAGATGTTGGTGAGGAGTTAGATTTGAGAGGAGCAATATGGCTCTACTCTCCTAGCACTTGCACTTGCACTTGCACTTGCACTTGCACTTGCACTTAACCTAACCTGACGTTTATCTTAACCTGACAGTATGTGAAGTGTGACAAAACCCAACTGATGTGACGATGGTAGTAGTCACACCCAGGGGGGCTAATCTATTAATCTAGGGTTTTACAGGCCTCCTTATATACTACTCTCAAATTAATTACATAATCTGTGACGATGTGACTTGATCCGCTGATCCGGTTCTAGAATGTTCTAGTTCAGGCTTCTGGAAGGTTCTAATATAGGTCCTGGGTCAGACTTGCCAAATATGGACATGTTACCCTTGGTTCGGTTCAGAGTCTAGACTGGTCCCTGGCCTAGAGCAGGCCTAGACCTTGTGGCCGGGTGCATATAGATTTGATTCAAAGGTTTGCAACATTTATTCTGAGATTCTTCATATGTTCCATAGCTATTGTGCATGAAAATGAATTTATGGGGTCCATATGTTATCATTCATATGGTGGTCATATTGACGGCTTATTATCTCCCCTTTTCATAAATCTTGACCGTCCTCGGTCAGTTCAAGCAACAATATCTGACTACATTTTTCATCACTTCCAGCTACATTTTTCACTGGGTTTTATTTTTATGCTATGCAAAATATGAAGATCAAGTCCCAGTTTCAACTAGGTGGAGTTTCACCATTAATGTCCTTGTTTCCTGTTTGAATCTATCATTATCACTGCACTATAGTACCTCTGTTGTGCCCTATAACTTGGTCTGGTTATCTTTGCAGGTTCCCTATATGTATATTATTATTTCCTAATTTTTCCAGCTTTTTCTCTGATTTTCTAGCAATTTTCTGTCAATTTCTCTGTCACTTAATCCAATTTTTAATGTTTCCTTCAGTTATTCTGATATCTGGTTATCATAGATGGTTTCGTTGAAGCCTAATGTCCTCTTACATGCCAAACCTCTCGAATGACTAGGACTTTCTAGGTTTTTTAATGTTTTTATCAGAGCTTAGATATCGTCTGCGAGCGTTGGAATCCTATCTTATCTCGCTCGGCGATCGAATCTCGTTATCTTGGGTAGATCTCCGAACGGATCGTCGGTCGTCGGTCCGATCCGGCTTCGGTCCGGTCGGGCTTCCGTTCTGCCGATCATGAGGCGGTGCTTCGTGCTTCTTTCTTCTTGACCACCACCACGTCGTCTTGCACGACCTCTGGCCCTGCCCTACGAGCCTCGTGCGCTCGTCGGGGCGCTTCTCCTGGCTGCCTCGCGCCTCTCTCAGCGCCTTCTTGCTGCCTGGTGGCAGCGCTTCTCGCGGCCGGCCCGATATGCTTGGGCGACGCGTCATCGCTCGACGCGTGCGATTTTCGCGCGTTCATCGTTGTTCTGGGCGGCGCCTCGCACTCACATCGTCGAATCTGTCGGACGGGACCACTTAGATGGTGGGGTTGAAGGAGCTGGGGACGGGCAACGGTGGTTCCTCGCTGTTTGGGGTAGCTTGGGGCGGGGATCCAGGTGAGTCCTGTTGTCCCATCCCTGCCCTATGAGCACGAGCCTCGTGTTGCTCGTTCGGCGGTCTTCTTTCGGTGGCTCCACTCGTTCCCTGGCTGCGGCGGGCTTCCGCGCGGCTGGGTGGCCTCGTGCTGGCGACGCGTCATCGCTCGACGCGCGCGTTTTCTCGCGGTCGGCGCCGTTCTCGGCGTCTCATCTCTGTGCTCTGGCGAAATACGACCTGTCTGGAGTGTCGGGCGGCTGGCCGTGGTGGATTTTGGGGCGCAAGCGGCGGGGAGGAGGGCGGGATGGCGGAACACGGGGCTGGGCGGCCCAAACTAGGTAGGTCTGTGCCATTCTTTCTTCTGATCCCTTTCCTAGCTCCGCCTGTCTCTTTCGTTGGGTGCTAGCCGTATTCGGCGGTACTCAATCGTCCGCTTGATGTCGATTGAGCCTTGCTCTCGTCTTCTACTGCGTGAGAGCGTTTGCGTGTCGTGTTGCTGTGTGCGCGCTGCACAGGCAACTCGGCGTGCTTCGCTCGTTGTGTCGACGCTGTCCTGTGTTGCTGTGTGCGCGCTGCGCAAGTAACTTCGGGCCGGACACTTCTTCTGTACCGCTCTGTGTACGCACTTCTTTGTCAATATAGGCTCTTGTCGTGCGTCTATTGGGCCTTGAGGCGCGCCTCCAGGCGCGAAAATTGCCTTCTTTGGCCTTGTGGACGTCGCGTGGCAATTGGTAAGCCACGACGCGCCTGCGGACCCTCCCGTCCCTTTTTTCAGAACCCAGAACTGTCCCCAGTTCTGCGGGGGGAGGACGACGCGTCATAAGGCAAGGGTCCGGGCTGCAGCTATAAAAGCTGGCCTGCTGCTCCGGTAAGCCCCATCGACTCGTCGACCCCTCTACTCTGCTTACTCATCCTTACCATGGTCTCTAGCCTCAAGACTGCCTCCCTTTCGACTCCCGCCATCCAGGTGTGGAACCCCGACGTTCACCGCATGCCCGCGGCTGTTCGCAAGTGCCTCTTGGCCTCCGCCAAGTTCAACGCGAGCCCTGTCTTCAAGGACCTCAACGCGCGCGACACCCACTTTGCGAGCGAGCGCTGGAAATGGGTAAATTTTAATTTCCTTGTTCTATTCTGCCTGTTTGCTAACATATTTCTAGGGCCAGCATTTTACTTACGCCCACCATATTGCGGACGACCCTGTGTTGCTTCAGGCTGCGCGGGACCTGTTGCTGAACTCCATGGACTTCGTGTCCCATGGCCAGCCCGACGCGGATACGGCGGCGCTGCGCCGTCTCAACACGGAGATCAATCTGCGTCTTGACCAGAACAACCACGCGTTTGGCGTCGGTCGGTTCAGTCGGGGCGCCAAGTCCGTGGCCGCGGCCTTCAACAGGGCGCGCCAACATCCCAAGTACGGCGACGCGGCTGCGAGCCGCCGTGGCCGGCCTTTGCAGGTGTGCTATTCTTTCTATCTTGTTTATCATGTTCTAAATTGTCCTTCTTGTAGATCGCGAAGGGGCCTGGTCGCTCCCGCGCGGCTCGCGTTCTCAGCGCGCCAATCGTTGTCAGCTCTGACGACGATAGCTCGGCACCCACGTCTTCTGCATGCGCGGGCGCTTCGCCTCCGCCACCTCCGCCGCCCCCTCCTTCGCGTTCCAACACTGTGCCCGACTCCGCGTCGAACTATGGTGAGGGTGGTGCGATGGATGTTGATGACGCCGCTGATACGGTATGTTTTGACAGCTTCTGTCAATATGTGGATTTAACTCTTTTACAGGCTTCCGCTGCTAAACGTGACTCTCCACCTCCGCTTGAGAGCGTTGATGCCTCTTCCGAGGAGGGGTCTGATGCTGGTATGTTGCCTTTCTCATCTGCTGCAATTATTGATAGCTTATTTGAATTTTCAGCCATGGTAAGCTGTCCTGCTGGTGCAGACATATCAATACTTATTGGGCATCTCAGCCTGCAGCCCAGCCCACTGGTATGTACTCTTCTGATTTTTCTGGATTAAACTTATTCAGACATCCAGGCTCTGCCTCTGAGCGCTCTGGAGCCGCTCCCTTCTCCTCCAGCATCGATGCTGTTCTCTCCGACGCCGCCCGGGCTGCGTTGGCATCAATCCGCGCGGCCGGCCCGATCACGCCCGAGCGCGTCATCGCCAGCGCCTTGCCTCCACCCGTTGCAGGTGCACACATTCTTCTGGTTGCTCTTGGCTTATGCTTATATTTTTCTCAGCGCCCCGCTCACCCGGACAGATCCGGCACGACATCGAGGATCAACGCTTCCAAGTCAAAGCCTTGGAGCGCCGACTCCGGGAGCAGCAGCTCAACCCGATCTCCGAGCGCACTCCGCGCAAGGACCTCGAGGCCCAACGCGATCACGCCACCGCGAGACTCAAGGTCGCGGAAGCCGAACTCTCGGTTGCAAAGCGTGAGGTCGCTCGTTCGCGCCGACACGCTGATGAGACCCCCAACTCCGTTTGTTATCTTCCTATATTGGGTTTTCTCACTTATCTCATTTTCAGGCGCCCAAAAAATTGTGAATATTGCAAGGATATTCCCCACACCAGAGGGGTTTGTTGCTGAATCAAAGGAGTGATCCAATAATGTACTATCATCCATGCTTTTCCTTACTTGTTCCAATTTACGGCCTGTTTACGATTTCTTCTTGTGTTTGGGTTCACCTTATAGTGTCTAGTTGAAGTAGGAAGTTTAGTAGCACATTTCTTGTACTTTCTTCCTGGTTTGCAATCATATGACTTCAACTGTATTTCCTGGACTGTATTCGGTCCAATTGATCTATTGATCGATCCTGATCAATTTTGATTGATCTTGTGATCTAACCTCGCCCAGCTAAGTACATTTATAGTGTGACTATGCCAGTTCCAACTCAGACTCAGAGTTAGAGTCGGATTCTGTTTCTGAATCAGCAGTTGGATTAATTGTGATATTTGGAAATTGCAAGTCTTTTCCTTGATACTTTTCT